TGGCCTCTCAAATGCTGGGATTACAAGTGTGCACCACCACGTCCAGCTCCAGTTAAGCATTTCTTCCCAAAAAATGCCTATCTTGAACCAAGCACTGGCATGGATGTAGGGAAGAAAGGCAATACACAGATAACTCACATGAATCCTTCTTCCTCAAATTCATAAGGCTGGGCCAAAGACAAACACATGTTCACCTCAACCCAAGGAGGCATGGCGGAGTCACTTTAGAATCCCTGGAGTTCAGCTAAAGAAATGTTTATTGAATTGAAGGCAATGGATTAAAGAACAAGATGAAATGTGCTGTGTAAAGCACAGGATTTATTTACCACATTTCTCTTAAGTCTACTCCTTCAAGGACACAGATGCAATTGAAGAAAAACGGGTGCTTTTCCCAGGAGTGGCTTAAGAGTCCTTTTGAAGAGGCAGACTTGTGGCAAGTAAATATTTTCAGGAGGAGGCAGGTACATCTCTGTGAGTTCAAGGCCAACCTGGTCTTAGAGAGACCTTTAAAAAAAAAAAAAAAGTTTTTTTTTCAGGAGGGAAAGAAGGGGTGGAGAGGTGAGCAGTCCAGCCTAAAATTTCAGTTTCAGTTTATTTCACGAAATGCGTTCACCTGGAATTTGGGCAATGGGGTCACTAATGTAAAACAAGGCTATGTACCAGGAAGAGGATTTGCTTGGAGGCAGAATGAGGCGGTTCTGCCTTGGCGATTTGCTACTTGTGTGGCTGACAGGTCTCTCACTCAAGTTCTCCTCCAGACCGAGTGCAGAACGTGGGGTTCTGCATCTCCGTGGGGCGCGAAAGAGCAGGGTGACAAAACACCGCAAGCTGTGGGAAGTCGGAAAAGTTACCTCCCGCGGGTGCCCGCCCGCTCCCCCGCGCCCGTCGCTTCGCTCGGTGCAGCCCCGTACTCCCCTGGCCCTCCAGGGCCGCGCGCCCGCCTTACCCCCGGCTGGGTGGCCTCCACCTCGCGCGGACTTGGCTGCCGGGGCCCGGGGGCGGGCGCGAGCCTCGTCTCCGGGACGCTGTTGCCCCAGTAACCAGGCCCGCTAAGTGGACGGCGAGTCCCCGCCCTCAGGAAGGAGCAGAGTTGCGATTGGCCAAGGGAGAGGGCAGAGCCAGATGAGGCTTGGGCCCTGGAGGAACTTCCGCCGGAAGTGCTGTCACTGGGCGGGACGAGAGCCAGGAGACAGGTGTGGTGTTTCTGTATTTGTGACTTTGGATTTTCGCGCGTTTGAGGCTGCGTCCCATGGACCTGCTCCGCCTCTGAGAAGCAGACTTTTTTCTAAAGACTTGTTTGTTTTTACATCATTGTAGCGAAATATTCCTGTGTTATCCTTTTCCTTGTATAATTGCTATATTCATCATGATTATATTTAAGCCTATATGTATGTCTATGTAATCTGTGTACAAATATGCATATACTCAAATTCATTATCCTTTTGAGAATTGTTATCTGTTACAACAATTAAAACAAGAAAATAAAATGTTTTGTTTTGCCCTCAAAAGAGTACTTTTATGTGTTTGAGTATGTGTCTGCATGTCGGTGTGTGCACTTTGTGCATGCAATGCCCACAGAGGCCAGAAGGGGGTGTCAGGTCATCTATAGCTGGAGTTACAGATGGTTGTAAGCTGCCCTGTGGGTGCTGGGAGCTGAGCTTGGATCCTCTGCAAGAGTAGCAAGTGCTCTTAACCACTAAACTATCTCTTCAGCCCTGCCAGAAGCATACTTACAGATGAAGAGTCTAGCTTTCCCAAATCATACTTCATGAGTGCTGCCTGGCTCTCTGGTGAGCAGGATTAGCATGTATGGCAAAGGCCTATTTGCCTGCTTTAGGGTATAACTCTACAAACACAAGACCTACTTGCTCTGCCCAACACTATCTTTGAACTCCACCTATGCCCAGCACATGGCATGGTGGATATCCATAAGGCCATAACAGATTAATTAGTACCAAGAGTCCCTGGGCCTAGTCAGAACACAAAGAATCATGTTACTGTTCATGAAAACAGCCGGGCGGTGGTGGCGCATGCCTTTAACCCCAGCACTTGGGAGGCAGAGGCAGGTGGATCTCTGTGAGTTTGAGGCCAGCCTGGGCTACAAAGTGAGTTCCGGGAAAGGCACAAAGCTACACAGAGAAACCCTGTCTTGAAAAACCCTAAAAAAAGAAAAGAAAACAATGGTCCTTGTCCCTGGCTCTGTGGAGTTTCCCTTCCTTAGACATCCATGTAAGTACTTTGCATGTAGTTCAGTCTTCATAGCATTCTAAGACAGGTCCTGTAAAAAACACACACACACACACACACACACACACACACACACACACACACACACAGTGTTTTGTCCAAGGATTCACAACTGAGCAAGCCAGACGCAGAATGAGAATCCATATAGCTGAGTCCACAGCCCCCACTTACAGCCTTCCTGCCCCTCTTATTTGGAAAGGAAGACAGAGATGCATGGGTAAGATACCCTACACACATCTCTGCCAGCAGGTGAGGTGATGGGTACTGTGCCATGTGCTGTACAAATGGACCAGATGTAGTCCTTACCTCCTGACCTATTTAGGAAGTAAGCTAACTCTCCTACCCATTCTGGCCAGGCTGCCCACATTCATTTCTCTAACTGAATGACCAGGCCTCACCTCATCGAGAAGTAGAACCCGTAAGTCCCCAGCATACATGGCCTATGTTCACCCTATGTTCACCCTCTCTCCTCTCAAATGAGGTCTCCTTTTCAGAGTCTAATTCCTGTGCTGATGCCCTGGGCCCCACAGGCCAGCCTTCCCAGAGGCCTTTGCTTGCATCTTTAGTAGTTCTCTTAAGTGTACTCTAGGAAGCTCTAGAGCCCTTTCAGAGGACCCGTGGTCAAAACGGTTTTCCTCATCGAGCTGACATTACTGGGCTTTTCAATTACTCTCACCTAAGTGAGGTACTGATGGAGACAAGAACAAAGACCAGAGAATCCAGATGCCTGTTAATAAACAGATTTCCGAAAGTTCTCACCATACCTAATGTCGAGATACACTACAGAGCCGTAGTAATAAAAAAAAGAGCATGGTCCTGCTTTATTACAAATAAATAAATAAACAACAAAAATATACCAATGACTTACACACCCAAGATGTGGTTGATTTCTTCTCCATGATCCTGAGGGTTGAACCCAAAGCTTCCTACATGTAAGCTCTCTACCACTGAGTTCCACCCACAGCCATCAATACATACTCTGAAAGAGTATCTCACCAAATTTCCCAGACTGGCCTTGTAGCCTAGGAAGATCTTGAACTTGCTATGCCCCTTTCTGGCCTCCCAAGTATCTGGGATTATAGGCTGGTGCCACGAGGCTTGGCTTAATTTTTGTGCCTAGTTTTAGGTCGACTTGGCCCAAGCTGGAGTCATCAGGGAAGAGGGAGCCTAAATTGAGAAAATGCCTGCATAAAATTGGGTATAGACAAGCTTACTGTAGGGCATTTTCTTAACTAGTGATTGATGGGGGAGGACCTAGCCCATCGTGGGTAGTGCCACTCCTAGGCTGATGGCCTTGGGTTCTATAAGAAAGCCGACTGAACAAGCCATGGAGAGCAAGCCAGTATGCAGCATCCTCCATGTCCTCTGTATCAGCTCCTGCTTCCAAGTTCTGCTGCTGGAGTTCCTGTCCTGATGGACTATGATGTGGAAGTGTAATAAGCCAAGTAAACCCTTTCCTCCCCAAGTTGCTTTTGGTCATGGTGTTTCATGGGTTTCCGCAGCAATAGAAACCCCAAGACAATGTTCTAACTAAACTTTCTCTATGGGTTTGTATATAAGAGGGGGGCATGCCGTACACAGCACTTGGTCCTAGCTTCAGTTCCCACCCCCTACCCCCAACCCCCGCTGTTATATTTTTGTTATTTTTCTCTCCTATCTTTACTCTGAAGTGTTTTCCTGCTCTGGCAATTTCTCACTTTTATGTGAAGAGTTAACTACTTTTCACAAGAAGCTAAATTCAGCTCACTTGTTTATAACCCAATGAAACCATAGCACCTATTAGTGTGGGTTTGATCTCTGTCCAAACAGACCAAGTTCTGTATTGAGACGGTGGCCTGGAGCGACAGTTTGATGGCTGTCATCTCCTCTGGGAAAACTTTTTCCCCGCCCTGCTGGTTCTCTCAGAGCCAGGGTGGGGGAGGGGTGCCCTGCAAAGACCTGCTTTCAACAGGGTGGGGTCTGGACTGTGGGGTGTGCATCCTTCCATATCCCCCCCCCCCAGCATCGTTGAAACCAGGACCTTGAGGGAAACTTACTGCCCACACTTTTCCATCCACCACACATATCTGCTGCCTGAGCCCTCTGGTGACACCCTTGAAAAAGAATCATGAGAAATCAGAAAAGGTATGGTGGAGCCCAGCGCTTGCCTAGTATGTGTGCAGCCTGGGTTCTACCCTTAGCGCTGCCACAAAAAAAAGCGGGGGAGGGGAGGTTGGAGGGAAAATATTCTTACAGTGAGGCGAGCCGACAGATTGCTCATTCCCTTGGGAATCTAGAAAAAAAGACTGCCGCGTGGCCACAATCCTCAGGCAGGGCTGGAGGTTGGGGCACTCATTGCAACCTTCTTCTCTGTTGTGTGTGCCTAAGAGATGGGAGGAGAGCGACCAGCTGTCACTCTGTCGTCAGTCCAGGAAGAGGAAGGTAGAGGCTACACCTTTGCACTGAAGACAAGCAGAGGGGGTGACAGGGCCCCAGGAGCTGGGCTGCTCTCCAGCAAGGTGACTATGCTGAAGGCTGAAGGAGTGACGCCACCACATGGACGCTCAGGCTGAGAGCATCACCAGGAAGTCTGAACACTGTCCTGTCGGTGTGCTCCCAAACGGAGACAAGACTCTACTCAGCTGTGCTTGGGAGAAGAGAAATTACAAAAAATAAACAACTGAATAAGGGGGGCTGGAGAGATGGCTCAACCGTTAAGAGCCCTGGCTGCTCATCCAGAGGATCTGGTTCCCAGCACTCGCATGGTAGCTCACAAGGATCCCTAACTACAGTTTCCACGGAATCCAACGCCCTCTCTGGCTTCTAGGGGCACCGAGCATGTACATGGTGCACATCTATACATGCATGCAGGCAAAACACCCGTATACATAAAATAAATAAATCTAAAATAATTGGAAATTAAAATAAATGAGGTGTAAGTAGCTCCTGCTGCAGTTATTTTTCTTGACTAAAAATAGTCCCCCCACTTCCGTGTCCTCCCCCCCCATCCCTGCCCCTGGATATTTACCTTGACAGATGATAGGCCTGCTCATTTTCATTCTCTCAGCCAGAAACTAAATCGCACATTTTAAACACTGTCACCACCAATAACTGACAATAAATAGCCTGTAAAGGGTGTGTGTGTGTGTGTGTGTGTGTGTGTGTGTGTGTGTGTGTGTTAGAGCATTTTTAGGATTCAATATGAAGAGAGACTGTGCAGCTTGGTGTGGCACCTTACCCGTCCTGTCCTCCCCGCACCTGCTGATATCCCATCGAGCCCCTCATCCCCTTTAATAGTTGCTGGCTATCTCCTTTCATAGAAACAGGAATCAAAATCCACTCGTCTTGCTCCTGAGCAAGACCACACAATGGAGCGCGCTGGGATTTCGAATCTCAGCATCATGCTGCAGTAGTCTTAGGAGGATGCCCCCTCCGGAACCGAGCTGCAGTCAGAGAAAAGAGATTTCAAGACGCAGCCACCTGGGCAGCAAGCTAACCCCAGCAATCACCAGCAGTTCTTTTAGCTGAGCGCCCCGGATCTTGCAACAGCTTGTAATTAGTGTTGTTCAGCGTTTAATTTGCCTTTACTTAGGTAACAAGCACCTATTGATTACCTGATCGGAAGGGAATGCTACTGTAAGCAGTGTTGGGAGCCTGATGAGCAAGGCATCCGCTCTGCTTGTGGCCCACTCGGGGGCTGAAAACACCCACTTTGGGAAAGAAGGAAATGGAAGCATAGTTAAGAAACAGAAAACAGCACACAGGGAATTCTCCCTTTACCAAATTCGCGGCTCTAAGTCCCGGCATGTTCCCCTTCAATAGACAGGAACCTGTAGCCATATCTTGTCTCAGGGTGAAATCAGGGTCCTGTACTCACCCAAGCTCAGGCTAAAACAGCCTCCAGCCTTTTCTCCATCTGCAACAGCCCCAGGTGTGATAGGAATCCAGGGCAGAGATGGTCACCACAGCCTGTCAGCCTCACTTCAGGACACTCCTAACACCTCAGGTAAAATGGTGTGTGGGGGGGGGGGGCGGAGATGAGAGGGGTGTCAGCAAGCCAAGGCTCATCCTTAAGACTGTTTTTAAGGTGGGGGTGCAGCAGTTAAAAAGAAAGGATGGATGTGGCTCAGATCCCCTGGGGCTGGAGTGACAGGCAGTTATGAGCCACCTGGGAACTGAACTGGGGTCCTCTGGAAGAGCGGCAAGTGCCCTTAACCCCTGAGTCATCTCTCAACCCCATTCTTGCTAACACCAAGGGAAGTAAAGGCGATTTGGCCCTGACCTCCTAAAGCTTTGCAAGGAGCTCACCATATCCCAGTTATGTTACAGGGAGTCAAGTGTCCACCAAAAGTGAGCTCAAAGCCCTCGTGCTCCATACAGTTGGACTGAGTCCCTGGCAGAGGAAAGTAAGCGAGACAGCCAGCAGGTCCCCAGAAGAGTTTCCGCCCTCTTTGGACACTGTCGTGGACTGTGACGGAGAGGGGAGGAGAAACAACAGCCAAATGACTGTGGCCATTCCCCAGAGACTCCCAAGGTCTCTCTCTCTCTCTCTCTCTCTCTCTCTCTCTCTCTCTCCCACACACACACACACACACACACACACACATACACGGAAACAAGGGAGTCTGGGCCTCCACAGAGACCACCTGCCATGAGGTATTTCCAACTTCCTCTCAGCTGGTACCCAACACCAAATATCACGACGGTGGCTTCCAAAAAATAGGACGCTCAGGGCTAGGGAAATGGCTCAGTCAATAAAGTGTGTGCTGCACAAGCTTGGGGACCCAGAACCCACATAAAAAAGCGGAGATAGTTGACTCCTGGGGCTCACAGCCCAGCTGAATTGGTGAATTGGTGAGCTCCAGGCTCCATGAGAGACCTATCCCCCAAAAAACAAGGCAGAGAGCAACTGAGAAAGATGCTCAACAGGCACCTCTTGCCTCACGTGCATGCGAACATGTACATACATGCACACACAAACACATATGCATACACAAATAATCCTTTTTTAAAAGATAAGATGTGTTTCCTGGTGGCCTTTCAGTTTTTGGAGACACTTTAGCATTTTCTGGTTTCTCAAAAACCATTTTTAATAGAACACAAGCTCCCTCCTGCGGTGAAAGGAGGCAGGTTTTCGGGCCCCTCAGCTCACACTCAGAGCCAACACCACACTGGGATCCAAGCGTGAGCCAGATTGTCCTCTGGTGTGAGGAGCTGGCAGGAGCCCAGCATGCCTTGGAGACCATGACTATGGTCACACTGTGTGGCAGGTGTTTCCGGGGCTGGCTGGCTCCTGCGGGCCCCATCTCCACTGGGCTGCAGAGTTACAGTCATGCTCAGCTGCCCTCTCCAGGCAACTGTGTCAAAGTCACAGGAGGCTCAGGGGTGGGGGGATGCACATTGGGAACCCTGGTCAAAGAAGGAAAGGTCTCCTTGGGGGTCTCAGGAATGGTGGCAGGGATGGGGGGACTCCAGGTAAGGAAACAGCATGGCCGCATTCCCCCCC